ACTACCAGAGTTTGTTCCGTCACTTCGCTTAATACTACCAATAGATTTTGGTTCTTAAGATAGCACTCTGCCAAATGTGACCGCTTCGTTAACTCCTTCGATTGACTCACTATAGCCACATTCTGTGACTTCGCTTAATACAATCTATAGATTTTGGATCTTTAGATAGTACTCTGCCAAATCTGACCCAAGACTCACGTTTAGCCTGTTTGATTTCACTCTTGTACCTATTGAACTCTGTTCTCTATAAACGTCCCAATCTGTACTGAAAAGAAATTTACATTCTTCTCCGAATGCGATACAAAATCTTCAACTAATGGATTATTTAATTCGGTTTCAGGCAAATTAGAAGGGAAATTAGGTTCGGAAAGGTAGCTGGTATCACTAATCTTCACATCTGCATCACCCTCTCCTCATTCTAATGGGGGCACATTCTCATTCTTCACCATGACATGTCATACCACACATACGGACACAGCCTACCCCTATCATAACTTTAAATACATCAAATGCAAATTGTTAGGGCATTTCCATAGTTGGAAAGATTATCTTTATCTCACTTGAAATAAAAAAATATAAAAAATTCAAATACTAAATAATATTTATACCAAGATAAGATAAGCAATCATCGACCGTCCTTCATTGTAGGTACTTCTAGGTATAGCAGTTTTTTTATTTTAATTCATAGAAACATTAGTTGTTTCCTTTCTCATTTTTAGAAAGGATGTATGGTTTTTATTTTTTGTAAAAAAGGAGGAATCTAAACAAATTTTTCAAAAGCCACCGTCCAAATATTCTCTTATACATGGTAGGTGCTTCTATGTGAATTTTTATTCTTCTGCCACAAGTCCTTGAGTTTTTGTGTGGTAGCAGCATAGACCACTTCAGTCGGAATGTAAACATTTACTGTGATGGAAATTCTTTGTCCTCGTCAAGTAGCAGTAGTAGTAGATATGTTATGCAAAGTATTTTGTACTTGGAGAGCGAAAAGAAAAAGCTACACCGGCTAATGGAATATTTAACTACACTAAAGGAAGAACACATATAATTAGAGAAACATTTCGGGACATGTGGTCTAAGGGACAAAGGTATGTGGAAGAAAAATTGTTGATTTTTTGATTAAAGAAGAAAGTTATCGTTTTTTTTAACTCAATATAACACCATCTATGATTCATAACATGACAGAAAAAATCCGTAAAGATACGTTACTTTTTATTTTAATAAAAAATCGTTGCACATTTAATTGAAAATGGTACCTATTATATTCAAAGTTCATATTTTTGAAATGAATAATTTTCATTTTTAATAAAAACTTAAAAATAATTAAATTATCACCAAATTAATATAAATTTAAACCAATTAATAAAACATACAATCCGGATTAGCGAGTTTTTACTGTACATACAATGAAGTAAATACGTCATTTCTGGGGATGGGGAGCGGAGCAACACGTTATTAAAGAATAAATACCTTAGACAAATTATCTTATCTTACTTCCTATTGAAAACAATGCAAAGGGACGGATTTGCGGAAATATACATTTTCTCGATCTAAGGGATCAGTGGATACCATTGCAACTTTTAAGGAAGCAATTTAGAATCGATTTTTAATAGCCTCAGTGGTACAGGAACTTTATTCCATATAGAACTAATCTGTTGATGAATTACTTAAAAACAGAATAATCACACAACCCAACTTAAGGCGCTCTTTCACCACTACGATGGATCCTGGAGGTTGTTTGAAAAATTGTCACTAATAGAGAATCAAAACGCCGATGATGTGAACATGGTTATATAAATGGTCACGGCAGTCGATTGGACTCATTATAATGGTCTTGAGACAAATCTCACAAAAAGAGAGATTTCGAACAAACATAGGCTCTTCACTGCATAATATACATAAAATCGGACGAAAATTTGACTCATTATAATGACCTTGAGACAAATCTCACAAAAAGAGAGATTTCGAACAAACATAGGCTCTTCACTGCATAATATACATAAAATCGGACGAAAATATATATGGGTGTTATATTTATATCTGAACCGATTTCAACAAAACTTCACAGATATAAAACTGGACTCAAATAAGTATGCTTTTCTAAATTTTGTCTGAATCCGACAAATATTGGGAGTTTGGCGCACCATTTACATAAAATCGGACGAAATTATAGAAGGGAGCTATACATAAATGTAAACAGATTTCCACAAAACTGTGCCAAACGCTGTGTACGCTGTGCCAAATGTTGTCTCAATCGGGCAAATATCCAAAATCGGACAAAACTATATATGGGAGCTGTATCTAATTCTGAACCGATTTTTACAAAAGTTCGCATACATCAATATGGACCTAATTCAATACGCTTTGCCAAATTTTGTCTCGATCGGATAAAAATTGGTTCAATTTATCTAGTTCCCAAAAATTTTCCATTAGTATATTTGAAAGGTCTCTAGTTTCGTAAAAACGATCGATTTTTTTTGAAACATTTTTTTCCAGAGGTAGGTATAATTACCCCAATTATTGGGATATATTTTTTCTTGGGGACGTACCCGGTTTCCCGGTTATTTGACCCGGCAAGAAACTCATCAGGGTCCTTGGGACTATATGTGGTAAAAAAGGTTAAAACGATACGTGACCTGGCCATAAATTTGTCTCGTTCCGAACAAATTTCCATGAGTATATTTGGAAGTTCTCTAGTTTCGTAAAAACGATCGGATTTTTTGTTTTTTTTTTTTTAAAATCTTCCAGAGGTTGGTATAATTACCCTAATTATTGGAGTATATTTTTTTTCTTGGGGGACGTACCCGGTTATTTGTCCCGGAAGTTTGGCTAAGGGTACCATGTTCTACGGAACAGATCATTACAAATTGAGGTATAATTTTAATGGTTATTGAGTGATGACATGATAGTTTTATCTCAATTCGTTTGGGAGTTACTTTCAAAAATCCAAATTTTCAACCCGGATTTTTTTTTTAAAAATCCCCTAAAATTCGAACAAGTGTCCGTTATGGTCCCTCACCAATCCTGTCCTAAATATTAGACTACACTTGTAGGTTTTCAAAATGTTGCCATTTGTAGCAAAGGATATGGACCTTTGAACCCCATAAATATATGGGGACTAAGGTATGGAAATTATTGTCGGTGTTGGTAACTGTCGATAAGAGAAACTCTTAAATACCAGGAGGGATAACTCCTTAATTCCCTTAGAACCGGCTATAACCGGGTACCATTACCCGAACTTCCTGGTCAAATAACCGGGTAACCTGTTTCATGGCCCCTAAATAAGGAAATATTTTTTTTTTCAAAACTAGAGTAAATTCCCTTAGTGTATTTGGAATGGACAAATTCAATGGTCTCTGTGGGACTTTGGAGGTTCATATATATAAACTACAGTAAAATCGAAATAAAGACCCATTTTTAAGGAAATTTTGACTTTCCCTTAGTGAATTTAGCATGGACAAATTATATGGTGTCTGCGGGACTTTGGAGATCCAAATCTATAAACTTTGGCAAGAAAAAATATTAACCTTTGGACTATGTGTTGAAATTTTTAAACGATTTACGACCTGACCCTAAGCTCATGTCATGTTCCGAAACATTTTCCATTGGTATATTTTTCCAAACCCCAAAATATCGTAAAATTATTTCGAAACTTTTCGTAAACTTCCAAAATATGTTTTCGCATAAATTCCGACCCATTTCAATATTCAATGAAAGTTTTTGGCGTTGGCAAATGTTTTTACATACTCCCTCCCTTGTTGTTGTATCCTTCCATCCTGCTGCTGCTATTTCAAGGCTAACCTCATGACAAATTGCATGTTACAAACCCACGACCTTAAAAATGTGGGGTGTAACTAACTAACGGCAAAGTTCTGCACAAAAGCAAAAAATAATTACCATAACCATATTGTTATTCATATTGGACTCAATGGCTACCAAAAATATTTTGAGGCCTCTAAATTAGTATTACACATTACACACATTTATACAGGGTTTGACACATTCTGGATAAAAAATCCCTGGCAAGGAACTGTCTACGAGGTCGACGACGATAACGTTGTCGCCGGCGCAGCCTTGTATGAAAAAAAACAAGCAAACACACACACACATAGAATATTCAAGAATGAAATTCCGCTCTCTTTCTCTTTGTCCCTTCGAAAGGACAACTCATACTTCAGGAAACACCACATATCATCTGCGGACATATCCATGTTAACTAATCACCGCCTGGAATAACACTACTAATTATATTAAAAGGAGACTTCCTTTTTCTGGATTTCTTTTTAACTTCATGGTTCCAAATTAAAGTCTTGTGACCTATTCAAAAAAATGCATGCTCGCACAAGTCAAACAGCTGCCATCCATATACACAAGACATGAAGAATGTATCCAAACAAAAATAAAGCCAAGTGCCCACAATGTTGTTTAGTTTAATTTTTCCTGTATAGGCATTTGTAAGTTTTTTTTTACTCATCTTCATCGTTGTTTTCTTCTTCGTTCTCTCTACCAACCATATTTGTGTGTTTGGCTGGTGCTGCAAAAAAATCAATTATTTTGTTACTGAGCAGCCAGCGCAAACAAAGAACAACGACGCCCGCCGCCCTTTTTTTATAATTCGCGCAAACAAACACACACACGCACTCAACACACATTCCCAAACACACGGCACACAACAACAACGTCGTTGTCGCCGCCGTCGTCAACACTCAATCTCATTTTGATTTCTGGAGTAGCACACACACACATCCATGTATGCATGCATGCAAACACAAAACACATCTGCTCTTCTGCCCGCAGCAACACAAATCACAACGTCAGCTGCTCTGCCGCAGCAGAACTTTTTTTGATTCATCGTCGTCGTCGTTGTCTGTACAGAAAAAAGTTCTTCTTCTTCCTCGTTCTTTTATTGTTGGTTGGGTCTTTTGCCTTTATTTTCATGCAAGTAGTTTTTTCTTTTCGTTCTTTTTTTCACAGATATTTTTTCTCCTAGCGAAACTTACGATAATTTTCTTTTATCCATGCCACTCATTTTGTATTATCTGTTTTTTCCTTTTTTTATATATGACAAATTTACACACAACACTCTGCGTTTAACTTGCTTTGAAATGTATTTCTTCTTTTTGTACTTTTTTTCTGTAATTATTTTTTCTTTTCTTTCTGCCAGTTAAAGAAGAATCTCTTTAATTTCTCTGGCCCTCACACACAAAATTGCGAAAAAATACTACCACAAAAATAGTGATGGTAACATTACATCGATTCGCTGAGGGAGAAAAAATCGATAACTGTTGTCAGATGGGGTTATTTTGATTAGTGTAATCGATTTATTTTCACTTTGTAGTTAAGTGGTAAGGAGACATGTCAAATGTTATCAATAATTAGACAATTTATTTCTAGGTAAAAAAATTACAAATGGATAAAATAAAACAATTCCAATTTAGCAACACGTAATGCGATGGAGAATTATTGGGAGAAAAGGATAGAGGAGAATCGTATTTTGAGAAAAAAAGAAGAAAGAACAAAAAAGTGAGCAAATCGAGATGTACAGGAGTCAAAAATAAGTCAGGAAATATTACCAACGAGTAAAACACCAAACCGAAGGCATTGGCACAGCACATCCTCCTGTAGAGATGAAAATTGAAACCTGGTGACAGATACAGACAGCGTGCTGAGGATCTGGAAGAAGCATTTTGAAAAGCTTCTGGTATCAAATAGTGGCAGTGAAGAAGATACCCCAGAACCAATAAGAGATAACGGTATAGAGTGTATAACGGTATACCACCTAGCCAAGATGAGGTCAGAATAGGAATTAGCCGGCTGAGGAACAATAAAGCAGCAGGTACCGATGGATTACCAGCCGAACTATTCAAAACCGGTGGTCAGATGCTGGTCAGGAACATGCTCCAACTGATTATTACAATTTGGCTAGAGGAAAGCATGCCCAATGATTGGAACCTCAGCATCCTATGTCCGGTGCACAAAAAATAAGAAAAGACAATATGTGTTGGCACATAGAGGTATTAGCCTTCTTCACATCGCATATAAAGTGCGATGGTTAATGACATTATTGGACCATATCAATGCGGCTTCAGACCTGGCAAATCCACCATTGACCAGATTTTCACTCTGCGCCAAATCCTGGAAATCCACCTATTCGTCGACTATAAAGCCGCGTTTGGCAGCCCTATCCGTTCAGAGGTGTTTAAAGCCGTGTCATTTGGCATTCCTGCAAAATTAATACGGCTATGCAGGAAAACTTTAACTGGTACAATGTCAGCAGTTAAAGTCGGAATGGACCCATACCGAACGAGGATTCAGACACGGTAACAGTTTGTCGTGTGATCTTTTTAACATCCTGCTGGAAAAGGGCATACGAGACGCAACGGTGAACATATGGTATAACGCGCAAGACGTCCAGTAGACTCGGACCAACTGTAGAACTTGATAACTACAACTTCGAGGTAGTTAAAGATTTTATATACCTTGGTACCGTCATAAATAGAACGAATAACATCACAATTCGGAGAAGGATTGTGATGATCATCAGATGCTACTATGGTCTAAGTAAACAGTTTAGAAACAAAGCCACTTTCCGCCAGACCAAACTCACACTCTACAAGACACTGATACTATCCGTTCTGTTTATATGAATCTGAAGCATGGGTACTTGCGCAAGCAGATAAGGCAGCTCTTGGAGTGTTCGAGAGTAATATTCTCCGATCTGCGTCGATGGTGTATCGCCGTCAAATGAACCATGAGCTATTCAATATATTCTCAGACATCGATAAAGTCAAACGGATCGAGCTGCAGCGACTACGTTGGCTAGGCCATCTTGTGAGACGAAGATGCCCCACTCAAAAGGCATATAAAAGCGAGTCAAGTGATGGTTAACGCAGAAGGAGAATGCCTCGAACCCGATGGAAAGATAAAGTAGAATTTAACATTTTGAAAAATGGTCTTTAGAATTGGATAAGATGCGCACAAGACTGACACGCTTGGACATTTTTTAACTCGGCTTATGGAACAACCATTCTGTCATAAGCCAGCAAAAAGCAAATTTACATATAACATTTAATCACGATTAAAGGATGAATCAGGGTTTATTTTCTTAATCACGCTGAATTTACCATGATTTATCATACAAATTTAAATCATCGTGCAGCAGGTTTTATTTTAAATCATGATCGAAATCATGATACTACTGAAATGCAACGCGGGTTTTGTACGAAAAAATACAACCCTCTCACAATGTACCAAAATTTGCAACTGTTTCACATGACGTTTATTTTTAAATTTAACGGTTGACAAATACAGAAATAACAGATCAAAGAAAAATAAAAATTAATTATATAATTTTTGTGTTTTAGGTGTTTTTTTTACTTTCCAAACGATCAGAGTATTGCAAAAACCTTTCCATTGTGGTAATTCTTCTATTCTTTTTCAAATTGTAAACAAATATTTTTGGCGCAAATTAATGATTTTGTATGTATACTAACAAACATCAGCTGATCGGCATATAGATCATGATTAAAGGTATGTGTAAACAATTAGGGTGTATTTCTGGATTTCGTTAATCGAGTCGATTTAAAATCGTATATGTAAATGTACTTTAAGTAAGTATTATTCGACTAATATAACCCTAACACTAATGGTGTTTTTACACGATATGTATTTTACATATGTGCTGTCACTTTTTTACATATGGAAATCGAACTCGTCATGTGAAACATACGGAAATTTCAATGTGTCAAAACGATATGCAATTACATATGTATTTTTTCCGAATAGGACGCGCTCTATTTTCGTATGTGAAACATAAGGAAATCAGCTGTTTGAATGAAACACATTGTTGGAAGAAAATATTTGTATTGGAAGTCAAAGAAAAGGATGAAAAGGCAACAATTACAAATTATTATTTCGTTTGTAGGTGTTTAATAAAAAAATTTATGTTGATTTATGAAAAAATAAAAGTGTTTTTTTGTTTATAGGTTATGTCATATGTAAAATACATATGCCGATTAGAACACAAAAATAAATGTTTTGTGTACGCTGCTAATTTTGACACACATAAGGAATTACATATGGATGAAATAAGTGACAGCACATATGTAAAATACATATCGTGTAAAAACACCATAAGCAGCTGCAAAGACATAAAAGTATAAAGATAGGACAATTGAATTGCCAAGTTGGCCGTTAGATGGCTTTTGCTCTGTTGTTACGATATCGTAACAACATTTTATGTTAATTACAAAGAGAACAAAATTTTTTACTCTCTGAAATGCAATGGAATAATGACAGAAAAAAACCTAGAGAGTTTAAAAATAATTTATATGGTTGGCAACATTTGGGAAATATATATGATGTGCTCCACAATGTGCAAGGCGAATTTTTGTCGCTGTAACAGAAATGTATTAAATATACAATAAGAACAGAGTATGTACATATGATATATAATTATTATATATTTATTATTATTATTTTAGGTTTTTAGTAATTTGAAAACTTTCTCCTACGCCATAGAATCGTTTTAAACGACACCCCCGATGCAATGAAAACACAATGTAAATAGTGAAAGACCGCGAAAAAGCATTTCAATTTGAAAACGTAAGAAGGGAATATATATTCACTACTTATTTCAATGAACTTAATAAAAATTTGGATACTGGAAAATATAGTGCACTATATAATAAGACTATATATGTTGTAATACGGATCTCAAATGGTTCAAATATACGCATATTGCACTATACTATGTTCTGACGTTATTCCTCTCTAATTATACCCTTCACCACACTGTGGTACAGGGTATTATGACTTTGTGTATATGTTTGTGACAGGCGAAAGGAAACGAAATAGACACATGGCTCCTTTTGACAATATGCATAGAATCACTTTCTGAGTCGATTTACGCATGTCCGTCTGTCCGTCCATGTATTTTTGTGAACAAAGTACAGGTCGCATTTATGATCCGATTTCGATGAAATTTGGCACAGCTCACTTATTTGGCCCAAGGACGAACCCTATTGAAATTGAAGAAAATCGGCTCAGATTTATGGTGTACCAAAGTCCCTATATAACTTTCGATTTGCAAGAAATTTTGCACAGCGTATTGAATTGTGTCTAGAAGGATGTGTGTCAAGTTTCGAGAAAATCGGTTCAGATTTAGATATAGCTCCTATATATATTTTCTTCAGATTTTATGTAAATGGGGCACCAAAGTCCCTTCATATATTTCGATTTGCGCGAAATTTGGCACAGGGTACTGAATTAGGTCCAGAATGATATGTGCTAAGTTTCGATTCAGATTTATGTAAAAGGTGCACTAAAGTCCCCCATTCTCGGTGTCAAAATTTTTTTATTAATTCGAATCTACTCTTGAAGATATAGCCGATTTATTTTGTCAGCATCAAGTGACGGCAAGAGTGATTCTCAAACTTTTAATTCATTTTTCTCGAAGCAGTGTTTCGCTAATGGCGGGCACGATAACTCATAAACTAATAATCCAATCGGTTTGTTAGTACCCAATTAATAATAAAACATTTTTTATACTTTTTTGTTGTTGTATAATTATTTATTTATTGCCATAAATGAGTTTTTTTCAATCACTTAATAATTTTGTGGGTTTTTATTTTTTGGATTTTTTTTTTTTTTTTAGGAGGAAATAAAAACTCAAGTGACGGAGGATATTTTAGGCATAACTATAAAAGATAGATTAAAAACCAGTGAGCGGAGCAGTATAGTCGGACGGGGCCGACCATATGATATCTTGCACAACTTCTACTAAAATTTGATTCCTGTAGTTCCATATTCTGATTACAAATATTCAGTACAGCCCTTCTAATTGCTTGTCTAGATTCCCTTCACCGTGGGTTGTACTGTGATGTTCGGCTTATAACTGTGCCTATAAATCGACTCGAAAAAAAAAACACAAAAATGAACTTTCGGTCCACTTCAGCCCAAAATTATTATCTGATCATCACCGAAAATTATGGGCTTTGTCCTTGACCATAACTGCAACCTCATGGAACATTTCAATGCGATCACCGCTATATTTCCGCCATCCAGTGTGGTAATGGTTTACTAAATTATATTTTAATAACCTAAACACCTGTTAATACTTAAGTGTAACTCCCGCAGCCGAGTACATACGACAATATTGGTATCAATTTAAAGGTCAACCACTCTATTCGCTACAGAACAAAAATGTTGTCATTTTTCACACAAAAGTCAGGGTCTATTTGACACGCTAAATATTGACGATCTTTATTTAAAACTGGCATGTTTATTCTTTGCCCAGATCCCATTCTCCGTGTAAAAAATCGCAATGTTGGGGTCAGAATTGCGGCCTTTGGAGCGACCAGAAAACCGACAAAAATAAAGTATTTGGTCCATTTCATCCCCTTAATATCAACTGATCTTTACCAAAAACCATAGGGATCTTCATTGCCAGAAGAACCCATCCTATATGCAAAATTTCGTGAAGATTGGTCTAGATCGACTCAGCTAGCCGAGATATGACGATCGGTATACTTAAAGATGGGTCTAGGACCAATATTTCGCGGCGTTACAAACTCCTGGGGCTGCACAAAGCTATAATACCCTGACATACGCTGAAAGCATTGTTGTTTTTGTATTCATGGGTCATTATTTGAATCCGCATCATAATCTTCAGGCATCCACATCAACAGGAAATAAACATATTGCAAACAAATTAAAAATTTATAAATAATTTATAAAATTTGGAAAAGTTTCTTCAGTTCAACCATTAGAGCCCAATCAGCCTTTATTAAATTATCATGGAAGTAATTCTTGCCAGCATCGAGACCTTGACCAACTTATCATCAGCTTCAAAATGACGGCCAAACATTTTTGGTGATTCACCGGGTATGGGTTCAATTTTAACCCAAATCTCTTTGATTCGATTGAGGTGACAATGTCAATAACGACAAACTCCTTGCTCGGCACACAACCATTTTCGACCATTACACCCATGACAAAGGGGGTCACGACTGTTAAAGATGAACTGTGGCAGGGGAACACGGCAATTGATTTAAATTCTTCAAATAAAGCACGCAAAAAAATTTAATTTCATACAATCTCAAACTTTACTTTGGTTACCATATTTTTCAAAATAATGAACATTGCTGTTAAGTATTTTTTGGTGAGAGAACATTAAAAAGTGCATTTTCCATTAAAATGTGTAGCCCTCTATAGCACAAATTTTACACTAATATTGGAAAATGCGTTTTGTCCAGTCTTTACGATTGTATGTCTTTGTAATACGGCTATGCAGGAAAACTTTAACTGGTACAATGTCAGCAGTTAAAGTCGGAAAGGACCTATACCGAACGAGGATTCAGAAAAGGTGACAGTTTGTCGTGTGATCTTTTTAACATCCAGCTGGAAAAGGTCATACGAGACGCAACGGTGAACAGATGGTATAACGCGCAAGACTCGGATCAACTGTAGAACTTGATAACTACAACTTCGAGGTAGTTAAAGATTTTATATACCTTGGTACGGTCATAAATAGAACGAATAACATCACTTTTAAAATTCGGAGAAGGATTACGATGACCATCAGATGCTACTGTGGTCGAAGTAAGCAGTTTAGAAACAAAGCCACTTTCCGCCAGACCAAACTCACACTCTACAAGACACTGATACTATCCGTTCTGTTTATATGAATCTGAAGCATGGGTACTTGCGCAAGCAGATAAGGCAGCTCTTAGGGTGTTTGAGAGTAATATTCTCCAGAAGATCTATGGGCCGATCTGCATCGATGGTGAATATTGCCGTCAAATGAACCATGAGCTATTCAATATATTCTCAGACATCGATAAAGTCAAACGGATCGAGCTGCAGCGACTACGTTGGCTAGGCCATCTTGTGAGACGAAGATGCCCCACTCAAAAGGCATATAAAAGCGAGTCAAGTGATGGTTAACGCAGAAGGAGAATGCCTCGAACCCGATGGAAAGATAAAGTAGAATTTAACATTTTGAAAAATGGTCTTTCGAATTGGATAAGATACGCACAAGACTGACACGCTTGGACAATTTTTTTTAACTCGGCTTATGGAACAACCGTTCTGTCATAAGCCAGCTAAGTAAGTATTATTCGACTAATATAACCCTAACACTAAGCAGCTGTTTTCAACCTAAAATGTTTATACAATTTTCGACATAGAGGTCCCTGGTTCAAACATTTCAAACAATTTTGTTTTGATTCTGCATTGTTATCAGTTTTGTTTTGTTCCATATTCTCATTTCACGACGACGTTTTGCGAAATGTTGGCTTTGTAATGTCAAGCCAAAAAAGAAGACGGGCATACAAATTCTTAATTTTCTAATTAAATTTTCCAAAATTGGTATCCAAAATTGCACAAATCCATTACAATGTGCATAAATCATTTGCAACAACACATTACACCATCCCGTCGACTATGTCGTGAGGGACGAGTAAGTCTTGTCTGCTATTTGGTCACAATATCGTTGATTTTGTTGCCATCCATACCGCAAATCTACTATGGAGCAGTGCCAAATGTTTGGGGTGCACGAATGTGGGGACCGGCATTATATTTTGCCCTGATTTGTATGGTAATACGTTTTGTATTAAGGGATACCGATTATCAGGTGAGTCGATGTGGATTTCTGTAGAAGAGTTTAATAAATTGTTGATTTTTTGTTCTTTAGGTTGGCATACGTTCCGCTTTTTTAGGCTTTGTGGAAGCAATTAGCATATTGACATTATGCTTCGCCCCCAATGTTTGGAAACAATTCGGCACGTATGGCTTGTTTATGGCATTTTTTCATTATTCCGAATTCCTGGCCATTGCCTATTGTAATCCGAAAAGTTTAACGGTGGATTCGTTTATGTTAAATCATTCCTGGGCCTATGGTATGGCTGCCGCAGCCAGTTGGATAGAATTTGTTTTGGAAGTACATTTCTTACCCAGTTTTAAGGATATTTACTATTTGTGGGTGCTGGGTGTTTTGATGTGTTTGTTTGGCGAAGTTGTACGGAAAACAGCGATGGTTACGGCCAGTAGTAGTTTTACACATTTGGTGAGTTGAATAAATCTTGATTTTGAAATAATGAGTCACTGATGTTGAATATGAGGCGAATTAGTCATATGTCTATAAAGAGAACTATTGGTCTTTTTAAAGACATGTGATCTCTATACAGACCAATTGGTCTTTATGAAGACCTGTGGTCTCTATACAGACCAATTGGTCTTTATAAAGACTTGTGGTCTCTATACAGACCAATTGGTCTTTATAAAGACCTGTGGTCTCTATACAGACCAATTGGTCTTTATAAAGACCTGTGGTCTCTATACAGACCAATTGGTCTTTATAAAGACCTGTGGTCTCTATAGAGACCAATTGGTCTTTATAAAGACCTGTGGTCTCTATACAGACCAATTGGTCTTTATAAAGACTTGTGGTCTCTATACAGACCAATTGGTCTTTATAAAGACCTGTGGTCTCTATACAGACCAATTGGTCTTTATAAAGACCTATGGTCTCTATACAGACCAATTGGTCTCTATAAAGACCTATGGTCTCTATACAGACCAATTGGTCTTTATAAAGACCTGTGGTCTCTATACAGACCAATTGGTCTTTTTAAAGACCTGTGGTCTCTATACAGACCAATTGGTCTTTTTAAAGACCTGTGGTCTCTATACAGACCAATTGGTCTTTATAAAGACCTGTGGTCTCTATACAGACCAATTTGTCTTTATAAAGACCTGTGGTCTCTATACAGACCAATTGGTCTTTATAAAGACCTGTGGTCTCTATACAGACCAATTGGTCTTTATAAAGACCTGTGGTCTCTATACAGACCAATTGGTCTTTATAAAGACCTGTGGTCTCTATACAGACCAATTGGTCTTTATAAAGACCTGTGGTCTCTATACAGACCAATTGGTCTTTATAAAGACCTGTGGTCTCTATACAGACCAATTGGTCTTTATAAAGACCTGTGGTCTCTATACAGACCAATTGGTCTTTATAAAGACCTGTGGTCTCTATACAGACCAATTGGTCTTTATAAAGACCTGTGGTCTCTATACAGACCAATTGGTCTTTATAAAGACCTGTGGTCTCTATACAGACCAATTGGTCTTTATAAAGACCTGTGGTCTCTATACAGACCAATTGGTCTTTATAAAGACCTGTGGTCTCTATACAGACCAATTGGTCTTTATAAAGACCTGTGGTCTCTATACAGACCAATTGGTCTTTATAAAGACCTGTGGTCTCTATACAGACCAATTGGTCTTTATAAAGACCTGTGGTCTCTATACAGACCAATTGGTCTTTATAAAGACCTGTGGTCTCTATACAGACCAATTGGTCTTTATAAAGACCTGTGGTCTCTATACAGACCAATTGGTCTTTATAAAGACCTGTGGTCTCTATACAGACCAATTGGTCTTTATAAAGACCTGTGGTCTCTATACAGACCAATTGGTCTTTATAAAGACCTGTGGTCTCTATACAGACCAATTGGTCTTTATAAAGACCTGTGGTCTCTATACAGACCAATTGGTCTTTATAAAGACCTGTGGTCTCTATACAGACCAATTGGTCTTTATAAAGACCTGTGGTCTCTATACAGACCAATTGGTCTTTATAAAGACCTGTGGTCTCTATACAGACCAATTGGTCTTTATAAAGACCTGTGGTCTCTATACAGACCAATTGGTCTTTATAAAGACCTGTGGTCTCTATACAGACCAATTGGTCTTTATAAAGACCTGTGGTCTCTATACAGACCAATTGGTCTTTATAAAGACCTGTGGTCTCTATACAGACCAATTGGTCTTTATAAAGACCTGTGGTCTCTATACAGACCAATTGGTCTTTATAAAGACCTGTGGTCTCTATACAGACCAATTGGTCTTTATAAAGACCTGTGGTCTCTATACAGACCAATTGGTCTTTATAAAGACCTGTGGTCTCTATACAGACCAATTGGTCTTTATAGAGATCATAGGTTTTTATAAAGACCTGTGGTTTCTATAAAGACCTGTGGTCTCTATACAGACCAATTGGTCTTTATAAAGACCTGTGGTCTCTATACAGACCAATTGGTCTTTATAGAGATCATAGGTTTTTATAAAGACCTGTGGTCTCTATACAGACCAATTGGTCTTTATAAAGACCTGTGATCTCTATACAGACCAATTGGTCTTTATAAAGACCTGTGGTCTCTATACAGACCAATTGGTCTTTATAAAGACCTGTGGCCTCTATACAGATCAATTGGTCTTTATAAAGACCTGTGGCCTCTATACAGACCAATTGGTCTTTATAGAGATCATAGGTTTTTATAAAGACCTGTGGTCTCTATACAGACCAATTGGTCTTTATAAAGACCTGTGGCCTCTATACAGATCAATTGGTCTTTATAAAGACCTGTGGCCTCTATACAGACCAATTTTGTCTTTATAGAGATCATAGGTTTTTATAAAGACCTGTGGTTTTTATACAGACCAATTCATTCTTTTAAAAACCTTGGTTTCCAGACGGATTTAATCTGTAGATTTTTTTGAAAATATTTTTTATTTCATCTTCTAATCCTCTTTTTTCACTTTTCCTTTCCAGGTACAATACGAAAAGGCAGATGATCATAAACTAATAACACATGGCATCTATGCCTATTCCCGTCACCCCTCCTATGTTGGATGGTTTTGGTGGTCAATTGGTACACAAGTGATTCTAATGAATCCCATTTGTATTGTTGCCTATACGATAATAAGTTGGAAATTCTTTCACGATCGTATTTATTGTGAAGAATTTTCATTGTTGAATTTCTTCCGTTCCGATTATAAGACGTATCAACAAAATGTTCCCACGGGCTTACCATTCATTAAGGGATTTATATTGGAATAAATCTCACAGTCATCCCTCCAGAAAAGATAGAACGGAGTGTTATTTTTTCCACCATAAAAATAAATTTTATTTTTTTTTTATTTTGTAACAAAGTTTTTGTATTTTAATTTTTTTATTTTCGAATGAATTATAACAACAACAAAGAGTATATACAGTAATTAAAAAAAAAACAAATGTTTGCCAACTAATTAGTTTAAAGTTCTCATTAACAAATAATAATGTATGAAATTTTGAATTAAAATTCATATAGACCTCGACATAATCATTTAATTTTTAAATTAACCATTAATTAAGACTAATAATATAAGTAAATGTAATAGTTCCAATTAATAAAAAAATAGAAAAAGTTTACGAAACTGAAAAATATTGAAAATTGTATTTTTAAGATATTTAAAATCGGAATTTAAAATTATATTTGTTGACGCCGAAATTGCGTGCAAAAAATAAGAAATAAAAACACGAACGTTTTTAGATTTAAATTAAAATAAAGGCAGTTGCTTTATTGATAAAAAATCGAAGAGTGGAAAAATAGATAGAGTGACAGATTACCTGTTGTTTGGTAGGCCAACGAAAAGAGAGTCTTTGAGTGTCAACAATAATAAAGGAAGGTGGCGTCGGCGCTAATTCCATACTCGTTAGAATCTGCCATTTGACATTTCAATGTTGTAATATTACGGAGTATGAAGATTGTAACGAATATGGAATTCAATGCGTTTTGAAACACAATAAAAGTGTAAACGCCCAAGAGAATGAAATCAATAGATTTTCTAAATTAAACATTGGCGACCCCCTTGCAACATTATTAATGTTGTAACACTCCAAATTATACAATATATAACTTAATTTATAAGTACAAATAAGATAGAGTAGGACAGTGCAGTTTTGTGAGCAATTCATAATAATTTCATTTATTTATTTCTTTTTTCCAAATTAAACACGAACATTTAATATATAAGAATTAAGAGTGGCATACTCCA